GCTGGGGAATTCTGGGAGTTGAAGTCCACCCATCTTCAAGTTGCCGAGGTTGAGAAACACTCATCTAAACGATTGCTGTTCTCTTCAGTATCAAACCAGAAGGATACCCTACCCAAAAAACAGGACCGTGTTCCCTTTCTTAAGTGTGTTCATCAGCCTCAAACCGTTCATGAATGGTTTGTGGCTGATTAAAGGGTTTTTTAAATACTGGTCCGTGCCGTGGTCCGTGCAGTGTTAACCTCTGGATCTGGAAAGGGGAGGAGGAGGAGACGGCTCCTGAGCCTCCCTGCGGGCGTGGAGAGCAACTTTCTCAGCTCTCCTGACGCGCAAAGCAGCTCCACCGCCCGGCCGCTGAACGAATCGTTGGGAGGGGTTCAAGGCATGTGTTTTCTGTCCCCCGTTGAGAACGCCCCCAAAGCCCCTTGTGAGGGAGCAGGACGTTGGAGCCAACTAGCAGCGACTGAAAGGTCCTTCTGGTTTCTGGCAGGGATCCTTCCGGTCTGCCACTCCCTCTTCGCCCTGGCTGCAGAGGACCTCTCCCGCTGGTTCGCCCCCAGCCACGTCTTCCTGGTGGACAAGGGGTTCAGCCAAGTGGTGCTCTATAGGATCAGGTACCAGGAAGGGGCACAAGCAGTGTTTCTGGCCCCAAGGCGGGCAGCAGGGAAGGACTGGGCTGGCACTGCTGGGAGACAGGTTCAGGGCCCCCCTCGGCCTTGGAAACACACTTTGGGGTGACTTTGGGCCTGACACTCTTTCTCAGCCAGCCTACCTCGCAGGGTGGTGGTTGTGAGATAACAGTTGACCCTTTGCAGGCCTTGAGGAAAAGCAGGAGAAGGGAAGGAGAGGGAGGGAGGAAGGAGAGGGAGGGAGGGAGGGAGGGAGGGAAGCATCTGTTCCTTGCTGAATTTCCTTGCAGGATCCGTGGTTAATACTTGAGGGATAGATCACCAGGAGATTAGCTGGAAGCCACTTCCATGCTATTACGCCAAAGAGAAAAGGGAGGTGGCCCCTGCCGATCTCCTCCGCTGACCCCAGGTGGTCAGTCCTGTGAGGGCTTGGAAAGGAGACCACAAGCAAGTCCTGGATGGAGGACTTGGAATGCCTCCAGGAAAGAGACCGTGCCAAGAAAACTATGTCAGAAGTGAAGCTGGTGAAGCAGAGATCGGGGTCCCCGGACAAGCGGGCACCGCCAGAGCACCAAGTCTCAAATGCCCTAACTGTACCCCAAAAGCTCGGGAAAAGCTGTGGATTTAGATCCCAGGGCAGAGACGGGCACGGAGGCTTCGGCCGTGGCGCTGCCCGGGCAGGCCCGCTGCCTGCTGGCAAGAGGGGAGCTGTGCTGACCCACCCGCGCGGCCAGTCCTGGCGAAGGGCGGAAAGTTCAGGCAGCTGAGATTGGGGATCGGTCATGCTGTGGGGAGGCCCCTCGCTTCAGTCGAGGGGGGCTGAATTGGGGCCCATCAGGCAGGAGAGCAAACCCACAGCTCAGGAGCCGTGGCCGCATGAGCGTCCCCCCCGCTCTTTGCACTGGGCGGGGGGTTGCCTCTTCCTTTCTCCCTCCCACCGTCCCTCTTTGCCTCCCCTTGGCAGGTCGGCTGGTTTGCTCATTTCTTTATTCGACTCAGGTTCTTCTTCCCGGACTGGTTCGGGCCCCGGAAGTCCCACCGCCTCGGGCTGACGGACGAGCAGGCCAGCCCCGTCCTCGACTGCTCCACCATGGATTACCTCTTTGCCCAAGTGAGTGGGGCCTTTCTTGCAGCTGCGGCTCCAGGCTGGCGTGCCCCCCAAGGGTGGCCTGAGCAGTGCCCTGTGCGAAGGGCCCTGCGGGGCCGGGGACCCTCCCGCTTCTCCGGGTCAAACGTGCTCCGAGGAACTGAGGCGAGGGGCAGAGGAGGGTCTGCCCCCCGGGGCGAAGCTTTGCGGCTGCCTTTCCTGGACCTGAGCAAAGGGCCTCCGAGGCAGATGGGCCCACGCGAGGGGGGCAGCCCTCCCTCCCCAGCCACTGCTCCAAGCCGCCCTGCTGGTCGGGATCCGCGGGAGTCGCAGGGGGGAAAGGCGCTGGGGGTGAGGCAGCCGGGGGATCCCCGAAGGAAAAGGAAATGGGGTGGGGGACAGAGGAGGTCGCGGCTAGGCCAGAGCCCACCCTCCCTGGCCCGTTCCTCCAGTCCCGCAGCGATTTCATCGGGCGACAGATGGCAGTGCCCCTGACGCTGGAGACCCAGGAGGCCTGCCTGGGCCTGGCTGTGCTGGACCTGCTTTGGATCTCCCGGGAGAGGAAGCAGACGCCAGCGGAGGTGACCCAAACCATCAGGTGAGGGGGAGGCCCTGGAGGAGCGGGGCCCAGAAGGGCGCCCGCAGCTACACCGACCTCAAGGGGGGCAGCTCTATCGCTCCGCCCAAGTCAAGCCCCAGGCCCACCTGCCCTCCTCACCAGCCCCATCCCTCGTGGAGGGTGCCGGGGGCGAGTCTGGGGCGTCCTGCCTGCCGCTGTGTCCAGCGCCTGGCACACCCCTGTCGATCTCCCTGGGGAGCGTGCAGGGCCGCCTCACTGCCAGTCAAGGCACCGGACCTTCTGGCTGGCAGCAGCCGTGTTTCATGCCAGGAAGGAAGCTGGGCTGAGCCCGCCAAGTGTGAGTTCCGCTCCATGAGCGCACAAGATGCCCATTGTGGGGCCACGCGGGAGGCAGCCCCTTCTCCTCGGGGGCGAGCTCGGCTGTAGGGGGAGCCGAGGAGCACCTTGCTCGGATCCAGGTGAGCCGCTCCTCCTCCACAGCTACAAGTCGTGCCTGCCAGAGAAGCTGCGGTGCCAACTTCAGGCACAAAACTTCGTCACCCGGAAGCGAATCCGGCGCCAGTTTGCCCGCTCCCTGCGGCAGGTCAGCCGCCTCCCGGCCGAAGTGAGCTTCCTCAAGCTGAAGTACCTCATTGAGCTGGAGGGCCTGGGGGGCGGCCCGGCAGAGGAGGCGTTCTCGGCCCGGCTCCCTGGCCAGACGGCCGAGGGCGAGCGGTGGCTCTGGGTCTCGGCTGAGAAGGGGATCCTGTGGAGCTCCAGCAGGGCCGAGGTGAGCGGGCGCACGCGGAGCCCTCCCGTTGAGGGAGGCAGAGCCCAACATGGCAGCATGGCCATCCTGCCTCGCACGGGCCTGGAGCCCCAGTGCCCAGCTGGGGGCCGTGTCGCTGCAGGCTCCCAGGGCCCTCTTTCACCCCAGCAAGCCTCCTCGGGCATTGACTTGGTGCTCGCCCGAGGGCGAGGAAGAAGGCCGGACTACTTGGACCCGCAGCCTGAGCATCTGGGGGATGGGGAGGGGGCACGTCTGGGAGCTCTTGAGGCAGGGAGTGCCCTGGTCCCCCCGGGGCAACATTTCCCCACGGGAGCACCTTCCTCCTTGCAGCCTGGGAAGGCCAGGGAGGCCGCTGGGAAGAGGCCCGGCCCCCGTCCTGTGTCTAGGGCAGAGGGGCGGCAGGTGGGGCAGCGATCGGTCTGGTCGGAAGCGGGCTTTGGCCCTCTCCCCCCAAAGTCTGCCTCCTTCCCAACCAGCAGGACCCCCACCCTTTCTGTGACTTCTGCGAGGTGGCCGACGTCACCATCAAGCAGGCCATCCATAACGGGCTGCCGGTGGAGAACCGCATCGTCACCATCACCAAGACTGACTGCCGGGCCCTGGTAAGTCCAGCGGCACTGGATCCCCCCTCCCCCCCGTGGCTCCGGGGCTTGCTTGCACCCGGGTATCGTCCAGCAAAGCAATGCTAGGCCACCCCAGAGGGTGGGCGCAGATCTGCGTGCGTGCTGGGGAAAGAGATTCCCTGCACACTCAGCATTGCAGGGTCCCTGCAGCTGAGATAGCCCTGCTGTGCTCACCCAGTGCCCCTCCCTTAAAAGCAGTGCGGAAGAGCTGCTGGGCCTCCAGGTGCCGGGGGGGGCGGGGCCGTGTCTGAGCGGCATGTCCTGGGAAGCTCTCAGGACCAGCTCAAGGGCCCCACTAGTGCAGGACAGTGCTGGAAGGTGCGGATGAAGGATGGGGAAATGCAGGCTTAACCCCCCCATCTTGGCTGGGGGCTTTGGGCCAGGCATTCTCTCTCAGCCCAGCCTACCTCACAGGGTTGCTGTGGGAAGAAATAGGCTGTGTCCTTCGATGCCAAGGAACATCCGAGGAGGCCTCACAGGGTAGGGCTGACGGAGGGCGCTGAGCACCCCGGGAAGGGCAGCTTCTCGCCCATCTCTCTTCTGAACCTGACTGAACCCCACGCAGGAGGTGGAGTTCCCCCACCTGAAGGAGGCCCTGTCTTTTGTCTCCCTGCTGGACGGCTATTACCGGCTGTTGGTCGACTCCCAGCACTATTTCTGCAAGGAGGTGGCTCCCCCAAGACTGCTGGAAGACCAGGCAGCCCAGTGCCACGGCCCCGTCACGTAAGCAGACCCCCCTCACAAAAGGCTCCCCCAGTGAGGGCAGCCCTTAGCCCCCGTCCAGGGTCGCAGCGGCCGGCTTGGCTGGGCAGGAGGCTGGGCCTCCGAGTGGAGAAGCAGGGACCTCCTGGAAGGGCCGCGGGCACAGTGGCTGCTGGTGCTTCTCTGTGGGCAGTGCGGTTCGTGGCGCCTCCTACGAGGCTGCCCCCTGCCCACCTCCTAATGCGCCAGGGCTTTTCTTCTCCCGTGGGCCAGTTGCTCCTAGCCTGAGTGGCACCAGAGGGCAAATGCCCTCAAGGCTGCCCTCTGCTTCCAGGTCTGAATTTGCAGCAAACAAGCTGAAAATGCTCGGCTCTGGGGGAGGAGCCTACCTCCTTCGACGCAGCCTGGTAGACTTTGACAGCTACCTGCTCACCATCTGCGTAGAGGTGAGACCCCTTTCTCGCTGTGCTCAGCCTGCATCCCTCGAGGGGGCGTGGAGGAGGGACTTCAACAGCAGGCATCCAGCTGCTTGGTGGAAGACGCCAAGAGCAATGGCTGGACGGATGCAAATGTCAGGAGCTTCTGCTCCAGCTCACGGGGAATTCTGGAAAGGAGTCCGGGCGTGCAAAGCACGTAAATGTGCGGTGTGCTCGTCCTCCACCAGCAGCTTTGCGTGGGAGAAAGACTGGCAGGATAGTTATTTCAGGGGCTCTGCGCCTGAGCATCTGGTCCCCGGAGAGCCAGCTGGTCTGGAACAAGGGCAATCAGGCCGTCAGTGACTGAAATCCTTTGAAAGAGGGCAGGAATAACCTTCTCTATCTCCCACCCACCCCCACCCCACCTTTAGGCGCAAACGAGAAAGGAGTTCAAAAGCCTGCTGATCCAGAGGAACAGCGATGGGACCTTCTCCCCCGCCGGCATCGCCAAGAAATTCCACAGCCTCCAGGAAGTGCTGGGGCTCTATCGGCGCTGCAGCCTCCAGGTTGAAGGGGTGACCATCCAACTGGGCACCCACTGCCCGCCGCAGCCTAAAGGTATGTTGGGGACCAGAGCAGGGAGCTGAAAACCACCCATCCTGGAGAAGTAGCTGGTCAGATGGCTGGAAAAGGAGAGAGCAGCACAGCGGCCCAGAAACACCAGAACCTGGTGCTTTGTTTCTGCTGCCTCCCCAGGATTCGACTCCCCAGTCCAAGGAAAGGTGGGAAGGGCAGAGACTGGTGAGGAAGAGGCAAGTCCTTGTCCTCATCCAGACAGAAGCTCTGACAGGGAAGTAGAGCCCCCAGTTTCTAAGGCACTCTATCTTTGAGTGCCAGTTCCTTGGCGGAGGGAAAGAATCGGACGTGATGGGTGCATCTGTGCCAGCCAGCAAGCCCTCCGGACCTTTGAAGGATCCAATGACAGATGTGGATCCAGGGGTGCCATGGGGGGTCCTTCCCTTTTCCCCCTCTTCCCTCCTTCCTTCCCTAGAGAAATCCAACCTGCTGATTGTGCGAGGGGGCAGCTGTCACCAGCTCCCCACATCTCCCTCCGTCCTGCGCCGTGCCAACAACCAGATGATGTTCCACAAAATCCAGGCTGAGGACCTCGTGCAGGTAAAGGCGAGAGAAGCAGGGCTGGGGACACCCGTGCTCCATTTTTGGCTGCCGCTGACAAAAAGTGCCATCCAAGGGCCTTCTCCCTGCCAGGCTCACGGGCTCCTTGGCACCCCAATCGTCCTTATCCTCTTTCTGTGGCCCCCAAATCCATTGGCCCATCATTTGGCATCCACCAGTGGCCAGTAAGCGAGGCGCAGACAAGCAGTGGGTGACTCAACAGCTCTCCCCACTTCCCAGCTTATATTCAAGGTAGGCTGCTCTAAATATGGAGGTTCTGGGTGTTACAGCCAGTGAAGCTCTCTAGCTGCCTCTTCGTAAGACACGTCTGCCACAATATCTGGTCTCCAGCTGTGGTCAGCCGGTTGCTTCAGCCTTAGAGTCCTACAAGGAAGGTCGGAGAGGACCTGGGAGACCACCTAGTCCAACCCCCTTCCTAGCCGGAAGCTGCCGTACTACAGCGAACCGGACTGACAGCCTCCATTTAAACACCTCAGCCAGCAAAGGGCAGTCCAACTTCTCTAAAGCAGCCTGTCCCATTGTTGAACTGCTCTTACCATTAGAAAGAGAATTCCTGATTTTGAACTAAAATCTACTTCCTTGTAATTTCAACCCTGTTCCTGATTCTGTCTTCTGGGACAGTTCTGAAGAAGGTTGCCCCATCTTCCACATGAGAGCCCTTCAGAAGATGAAGACGCCATCAGTCTCCACACTGTGCCTCTCTTGATGCAGCCTAGAATCACAATTGCTTTTTTTGCAGCTGCACCACACTCTTGGCTCTGTTCAGTGGTGACACCCAGACAGTTACTACATCTACTGCTGCCTGGTCTGGGTCCCTGCCATCCTAAACTCATCACGTTGACTTTTTCCCTACCTAAATGGAGGATTTTGCATTTGTCCCTGCTCAAGTTCATCTTGCTTGTTTCTGCCTGTTGTCCAGCATGTCAAGGGCCTCCTGGATCTGGGTACTGTCCTCAAAGGTGTTTCTATTCCTTCTCTCTGTGTTACCCCAAACGTGATAACCCTGCACCCTCCTGCAGGTCCTGCACAAGTGTCGGGGGCTAGAGGGCCACCAGCACCTCCTTCCAGCTCGACACAGAGCCGCTGAGGCCCACTCTTGGAGCACCACTCTTCCACCCGCTCCACATCCACCTAAGGGTGGCAAAGCCCACCCACGCATGTCCACCTTCTCTGCCAAGATCTCAGGGGAGAGCTCTGTCCATCGCTTTGCTTTGCGTGATTTCTACTGCATTCCCCCGGTGTTTCGCTTCCCTCGCAAGCCTCGGTGCCTTTTGCAGCTCAGCCTTTCTCCAGATATTAGCTACTTGCTGAGAGACCTCCCTGGTGCCTCCACCCGCCTTCCATTTCCTGCACGGCCCCTTTGAGTTCTTGGGGCAATTTGGCACGGCCACGTTCCCGCCAGTCTGGGATGTGTCTCAAAAGGACGCCCACCCATTTCACGGCTGAGCCATTTCCTGCCAGTGGCAGGGGCTGTCCTTGCCCAGTTCATGCAGGGTGGGTTACTCACCGGACAACCCCCATGGCATCACCTGGCAGTGGGGAGAACAGCCACCAGTCTCCCTCCTTAAAGCAAGAGGCAGGTCTCAACAGATGGTTAAACCTAGGGGTGCAGCCCTGTCTGAGTGCTGATTCACACAGGGTGGGGAGGGGGAGGGGGGTTCCTCTG